CCTTAAGTCCAAGGATTTTCAGGCGGGGGGTGGCTTGGTCATGAAGGCAAAAGAGGATAGACACTACTTTGTATGAGTTATAGTCTAAAGTGCTAGTATTCCCCCTGCTGACCCTTATAGTATTCCCCTCTCCTCATGCCTTATGTAAACCCCTTGAAGGAGTCTAGACTATAGCTTCTATCAGTTTTTGTGGTTTAGGGTTGAGTGAAGGGAGACCAGGAATAGGGTATGAAGGGGGAATACTTGAGGTTGCTATGTGGGGGAGGAAGGATATCACTTACTAAGCCCCCCGAACCCCAAGTAGATCCCAAAGCCGGAGCCCTCAACCTGAGTTCCTGAGTCCCTCGTTGGTCCTTGGGATGTTTGGGTTTTGGGGTTTGGGGTTTGGGGTTGGGCGTTTAGGATTTAGGGTTCAGGCTTCAGGGTCTAGGCTTGATCACGGTTTGCGGGAGGCCGGCATTGTCTTACGAGCCTGTTTTCAAACCTGCGTAGGATTTTTTTGGCAGTGGTTGATAATCTACATCGAAAAGCAAGCGTAGTAGCTATAGGAAGGAGGAGAATTGGTGTTGACCGCAAAGATGAAGAACTAACCCAACTTCTGCAGCCCTCTAGAATTAAACGTTCCCGAGCTACAGCGGACACTAAAAAAACCTGCATGGTCCTAAGTGCCCTAAACCTGGGGAACTATAGTATTCTATTGCGTATGGTTAGGCTACGAGTTCTGTTGAGCATCATCCGTAGTATCACGATATTTTTCGTGGAATACTTATCATTACAGGGTTGGGGCGGGGGGTTCTTTTTGTTGGGAAGAAGATCCGCTAAACCCTAAACCCTCAGCCTGGCCTTTAAACCCTAAATCATGTGAGCTATAGTCTGAACTCAAAGGGGGTGTATTTGGGGGACTATATAGGGGAGTATTAAAGGGATTATTAAGGGGGATACTTGGAGTTCGCACTTTTGTTCATGTAACTTTCAGGCCGAGATCCCGGAGATGTGTTGTGATGTCATGCAAAGCCTGTGCAGGATCCGCCTGGTTCAGTGTTTGCCTTGGGCTCTAACCTCCTCAAACCCAGGGTTTAGGGTTTAGGGCCCAGATGAGCTTAGTCTAAACTCCTTAACAAGGGGTTATATAGGGGATTATATAGGGGAGGACTATAGGGGTTGTTAGGGGGAATACTCGCAGTTTAGACTGTAGCTCAGATGGTTTTTGTGACTCCTAAACTCCTCCTGCCAGTCAAAGGGAAACACCCGAAACTTACTTGTGCCTAGTAGAGACAGGAAGGATCCGTATAGTAGTCCTTACACGTAATCCGCGCAATCCACATATTCCACATATTCCGTTCCTTCATTCCCTGCTATTTTACTAGGAAGTAAACGTGGGTATTCCAATTTTGAGAATCTCCCCCAGCCTGTTGCAAACAGACTGAGCATTAGCGACCCTCCCACAGCTAACACCCTAATCCCCGAACCCCAAAGCCCAACTTTAATCGCATGAGCTGCAGCTTGAGCTGAATTATAAATCAAAGGAAGATTGTGGCAAGAACATTTCAACGGTCTTGCTCGGCGGTAGTTTCTCAGATTGGAAGAGATTATGTAGTGGATCTGGTGATAATTTTTTTGCTGATTCATGTTGATTTTCGTGTGCAATGCTTGTTAGCAACCTAGACTAAAGGTGAAACATGCGCACGGCCATGACGCCGAAGCTCACCGATTCCTTTGCTTATGCATACTTTCTAAAGGGCGTACTGGGCTCCGAAAGCCTTACTCGTGGTAATTTTGTACGTGAATCCTATACAACGCTTAGCTAAAAGTACAGAGGCAGCTTGACGACCGCCGTTGTGAGACTGCGGAGAAGGGTCGAGAGAGAAGCTTGTCACAACGAGACCTTCAGAGGTCTCCCGCTGTCAGCTTACAGATATCATGGCATGCAGGGCGAACATGAAAAGCCAAAGCGACAGGGATGGCAGCCTAAAAAGGTGAGACAGGGAAACAGGCTCGCAGCCGCGTGAGAGAAGCTTCTCAAGCCGAGTGTGGGATAGAGCCGTTCACTGTGACAGCAAAGAGACGTGAAGGACGCCAGAGGTCAGCACTTGTGTGCTTTCGTGAAGAGGTGAGCGAAGTCTTGAGATTTCGGTAAGTTGTGCTCCACCATGTTGAGTTCGTATGGCAAGGAGTATTTTGTTGATGGAGCAAATCCTGCACCGCCTCAAGGATGTCATGAAGATGAGAGTTGTATAAGAACTCTTAGGTGGTGCAAGATTTGTTCGAGCACTACGGGGTTCTGTAAGGGACCCCCTCCCCAATTGTGGAAATATCCACAAGGCTTTGGTTGTGCCCATTCAATGTTTTTATGTAAGATTCAAGAACCCAAGTTATGGCTCCGGTTGAAGAAGCTTAGAGCGGAGAATGCGGTGAAGCGATGAAAGCAGAGGAACAACGACAACGGCGGATGGACGCAGTCCACCAAAAGAGAGATGCAGCACACGGCATATGGATCTAGGGTCAAGATTCACAGAGACCAAGATGAAAGACATGAGAAAGTTGTGCGATCTGAGCTCGAACGAATTCCCTGACTCTAGCTGGCACCCATGAAAGAAGAGTGCTACAAGATCATGAGGGCTGCGAAGCCCTCGTGGTTTCTTTTCTGCGACCCAATCTTTGCCAGGTGTTCTGTGGAGTGCTGGATTTCTAGAGCCTGTGGCGGAAGACGATCAGAGAGCCGTGGACCCAAGCGGCTACAGATTTCGAGTAGAGTGGGCTGGCCAATCTGACTCATGGGCAGTAAGCACTTCAGGGCAAGAGAACGCAAAGCAAGATATGTCAATCCTTGCTTCGGGAGCAAAGTACCTCATGGAGCCAGACCAGCCATGCGGGTTGGATCTATAGATGTGACGTGACAAGACTTTTGAGTGATGGAAGGTGGAGCAGGAAGTTCATTCGAGGATCTCTTGTAACGGCCATTCGTGCATCTAATGGGCATAGCGATTATCATTCTGTCGTGCTGCCAAGTACTTGCCAGGATTGCCGCACCCATCCCAACTTTCCCGTGATCCTGCTATTGTCCTGCGTCGAGTGATTGTATATAGATTGAACAAGCGCGAATATTTGTCCATGCGACACTTTGAAGAAGAGTGCTGAAAGTTACCCGCCGGTGTAGATGTCCGTGAGCTCATACGCAGGCGCAAGACTCAGAGTCCCTCAAAGAATCGGGTTTGAGTGCATTTTTTTGGCCAACGTCTGCGAAAGAACGGACCGAATGACGGGCACGGACGGTAAGCCAAGGAAGGAGAGAAGAAAGTCCAGCCAGATGAAAGCTCTGACTTCTTTGATCCCTTTTTTCCATTCTTTGCTGCTCGCTCCATGTGATCTTCGTCGTCCGCGTTTTGCACCGTCGTCTTTGTCTTATATAACAGATACAACAACCCCCGCGTGACCCGCAGGATCTTGGCTATGTGAACGGGGACATCTGCAAGCCATTCCTGCAGGCCTTGACCTCCAAGGCCTGGGGCTTCTCAGTCTTCAGGGAACTTCAGGGGTTGTGGATGATTAGGCCTTACCTTGTTTGTTTCTTTGTGCCCAGGGGCTTGATTTTTTTTGGGGGGGGGTGGGTGAGGGATGACAGGATCGATTCTTGGGGTTGCACTTCGGTTGCTGGTGCTTATGGAGGAGCGGGGGACTGAAGGCAGGCATTATATTAGGGGATTACATATGGGCACAGGTAAGTTCAGGAATTTCAGGGCTGCCCCTTTTTTGGATGACAGCCTGGTACTGTATGGCTGGTTCATGGACAATTTTGCCAGGGAATTGGGGGCTGTGCGTTGTTACTGTTGGTTTGGGAATAGTATTCGGCAAAATCATATAGGGGTCATTGCTTCAGAAAAGTAATGGTAATTCTAGGTACCTCAGCACCCCCAGTTTTTCCCTTTTTATTTCGGGGTCGTACCCTTACTTATATTGAGGGGTTTCTGGGAAACCTTGAAATATTCAGGCTTTTACATCAGTCCCTTTTGTGTAAACGTCCAAGGGATTGCTTGATTACAGAATATAAGTTGAGTACTGCGCCCCCAAAGCAACAGTCTATTAAGGGCTGCATATATAGATATATACATATACATACTCATACTTAGATTCGAATTCTTATCCAACTGTCGCTGAGTGGGGTCAGTACACAAATTAAACACAATCGAGCCAGTATGCGCAACTGCAAAAGGGCTTCCTTCTTTACCTCGTATTGAATATTCCTGAAACAAATTGTGCATATATACACATGTGTACATACATTTTTCACATGAAGAGGGGCACGTTGAACATTGGGGGCTCGGCAGGATTCAAAAATCGATTATGTTGTATGTTCCTGACACTGGCATTTGTTTGTTACTGAGGTGGTGCTGAAGTGTCCGGGATGTTGTACGCTTAGCCCTAAACCTTCAGCCCTAAACCCTAAACCCTAAACTCCAAACCCCCCAAACCCTAAACGACATTACTTGTTCTAGTCCTTGCTAGGGCGTATGAAGTCCTCTCTCCAAAGCATCCTGGAACCTAAGAAGGGGTTAAGGTGTAGGGTTTAGGGTTACAGCTTCAGGGGCCCTCAGCAAACTACTGAAGCGTTCTCTTTTCGTAGCACCCCAAACCATGAAACCTGTTTCGGTATGGTTTCGGTCAAGAAGCCGAGCTTGGATGTGGATCCTTTTGCCCTTAATTGGTGCCCACAACTTGTCAATTCTTTCGGGATCTGTCTTCACTTACTCTTGTTGTTTGTACCGACGACTGCTGCATGATCTCTGTCGTTGTTACTGGCATCCCTGCTATTGGTGCTGACATACGGTCCGGCATGCAGAAGACTGAATCCTAGACCCTAAAAGAAGGCAAACTTAAAACCGACCTTCAATTCAAGCCCCACATCCCACCCCTCTTAATCAAAGCCATTTAGGATTGTTGTGGCTTCGTTAAACAAGGTGAACGAGACAGCCGATTATTTCAATGCCGAGCGAGTTTTGGCTATGGGGCGACTTGCTGGAAAAATGGGTCTTGGGGAGTTGCCATGCATGGTCAAGGGTTCGGGATTTAGGTTTGGGGCAGTTGGTATTTTCAGGTCACTTTGATAGTCAGGGGCCAGGGATTCGACATGTTCCAGGGCGCGCGAGATTTCTTTCTCTGAACAAGGTGGAAGAACCACGCCTGAACTCGTAAGCATCCGCCCCTCGAAGGCCTTTTCATACCTCTTGCCATGCTGCTATGATTGGTTCCCGTTTTTGTCGCTTGTTTGCGGACCTGCGTTAGCTTCCTGTTCTCTTTGACTTGCACTTTAACAAAATGCCAGTATTAACTCATGAAATTACCAAACGTGTGCTGTGGAGCCCTGTTGCCCCTTCCAGTTTGACTGTGCAGTCTAACCTGAAACCCTAAGCCCACAATCGCGTAGGCTTAGGGCTCCTTCTTGCTTTGCTTTCTGCACTTTGGGGTGCGATAGCCAGAGCACAAGGGACTAAGGTGCAGGCCAGACGATCCCAGAAGCTAGGTAGGGAAGATCCAAGTCTTTTTTACCAGGTATTATCCTATAGCCTCCGGTACTTACAATTATAGAGAATACACCCAAAGCCCTAAACTTTCAACTATAGATGACATTATTTAGCGTGCGTTCAACTATAGATGACGCTATTGTCTCTAAACCCTAAGCCCTAAACTTCCAACTATAGTTCACATAAGGCATTCCCAGGTAATGTCCTATAGCCTCCTAAACTTGCAACTATAGATAACATTATAGTCTCATCTTCGAAGTGCCGAGGGCTGGTAAAGGGATGGGCGTGGGCCAAAAGGGCAAACAGGATGTCAAGGTGATGGACTGAGGGTTTAGCATTTAAGATCTAAGGTGTAGGGTGGGGTTGAAGGTTTAGGGTTTGAAGAGGCATTCTACATTTTCCTTGAGGACCTAGGCAATTAAAGACGCGCAGCTGGGATGCCTCTGTGTTTTCGGTTGTTTTGTTGTGTCCTACATAACCCTAAACAAGGTGGTAGTTTCCATTTTTCTCTTCCCCAAGCCCTACACCTTAAACAGTAGCTTCCATTTTCTTGTCCATTTCTCCATTGCCAGCTAACAAGAGGTATAGCCTTTTGCCTGACCTGATGCCCCAAACCCTTTCGCCATCTTGAGCCTTACAGCGACCCCAAACCCTCAAACCTCTCAAGCCTAAACCCTAAACCTAGTGCCTGAAGTTCCCCCAGCGCTGAACCTCGCTTCGGACGAAGTTCTGCAGCCAAGCCAGGCAGCTGTTCCACTTCAGCTATTTAAAGGGGGTTCTTTGGAACCCAATATATATTGGCTCTCTCAGGGGATACAATGTCATCAGTGTCACGATTCAGGCTTCTACATTACCCGGGGCCCCTAAACCTGGCTCTGAAAACCCTAAGCCATAGACCCGGAACCCTAAAGGTACAGCATGGGCGGCTTTGGAGCCATCCAACTTGGCTGCTGGGCGCCAGAGGCCAGGTTTCAGGCTTTAGGCTTTGGGGTTTTTTCGAGACTTAGATTTGGACTTTTCAGGGTTCCGTCTTTATAGCATGCCAAGGTGGTTCAGTCTCTTGGGCCTTGTGGCCCAGAAGTGTTGGGGTCTCTCCTGAAGCACGAGCCTTTCACTGTGGGCTAACTCTTGCCCCAATATACACCCTTTGCGACTCCCGATAAAGGTTCCTGCATACACCAGGAGAATTTATGCTGATGTCAGCGGGTGATGGGCTCTGTGGGTTCAAAGCACGCTGTAAGCTTGACTGGCGCTCCAAAAGCTTTTTCAAGTATGTGACTTCCTATATATTTCCAACATAATTCCAACAATGTCCCAATATATCATGGTAGTTTTCATTCTCTTTTGCATTATCCCCGTATAATTCATAAAAATCTGGAATCTGAGAACCAGCCCTGCAAAAAATACGGTCAACCAAGCTACAAAAGGTTCTATGCTAGTCTTGGGGATAAAAGCCCTATGGATCATTTCTATACACATACTGCCTATAGCCCCCAGAATTCCTTTAAAGGATCCTAAGCCTGAAGGCCTAAATCTAGGGGTTCCATGTTAGCTCGAGGCGCGCTGGTCCCTAACAAACATCCCGAAACCCTAAACCCTATAGTCCCCCTTAAGTGGATAGAATGTGGGGTAAAGGGAGACCTCCTCATAATATACCCCAAGCCATATTCTATCTACTTAGGGTGGACTATAATCTCTCATCCCGCTTGCAGTATGGGGGTTTACCAAAAGTAGGGGTACCTGATTTGGGATCCCCAAAATGAGGACCATAGTTTTGGGTCTAGATTAGGGTCCCCTCATTTATGGAAACTATTGTATTTGGAGGTAGGGGCCCCTGATCTGCGTCCTTAAGCTTACCCTTCCAGCGGGATCTCTGTGGCCCTTCAGTGTCTGTGCAGGGTATATACCGCAGTTTCCCCCAAATAGGGGGAACCCGATATAGACCCCAATATGCTATCATCCTTATTATGGGGGCCCCGGAGATGGCACCCCTTATTTTGGCAAAGCCCCATGCTACATTTCTAGGGACCACTAAGCCCTAAACCCTGAACCCAAACCCTAAACCCTAAATCCATTATAGTAGTTTCCATTTGCTTTTCCATTATCCCCAATATAACCCCTAAACCCTAAACCCTAAACCCTAATATAACCCCTATATATCCCTTTAAAGGGACCTAGGGCTTCCATTCATGGCTGGCAGCTTGGGTGTGGGGAAGGTAAAGCGCTCACCGGCCGAGGCTTGTGGATGTCTAGCATTCGGGCGCTTGCAGCGCTTGAACCCCCCTTTAGTCCCCCTTAAGTAGATATGGGGGTTGTATAGCGGTAATCTTGGGATAATGGAAAAGAAAATGGAAGCTACTATTTAGGGTTTAGGGTTTAGGTCCCCCTTCTTCAGTAGATAGAATATGGGGTATATGGGGATCTTATCATAATCTACCCAAAGCCATATTCTATCTACTTAAGTCGGGTAGGTAGCCTTGAAGAATGAGGCCTCCAAGGGTGTCCAGCCAGGAGACGTTACAGTAAAGGAAAGATCCCCGCGCCCAAGCAGGTATTTCGGAAGAGAATCCTTTTCTAGGTTTAGGGTTTAGGATTTAGGGGTTTAGACCTGCAGAAAGACCTTTCAAACCCTCCAGGGGATGCGTAGGCTTCAGCTTTGTCCTTTGCGCTTCATCACTCCTGGCCTCAGGCCTACGATGCGGTCATTTCCTTCGCTGGCTATGGTATGGGTACTCTTGGCAGCCGTGGATATTTGAGCTGTAGTCTAAACTCCTCAAAGGGGGGTAATATAGGGGACTACGAAAGGGGATATTTTGGGGGATACTAGGAGTTTAGACTATAGCTCATTGGGGGTCTGGGTGTCAGGGCTCCAAGTGAAGGATGCGGGTCATGTAGAAGCCTAAGCGACGACCAGGATTGTAGTCCTGAATTCCTTGTATCATTTGACATAAAGCACGCCAAAGAGACCTTAAGATAATGTTGGTAATTATTTTGACCACTGTATTTTGCATGCCCCTCGCCGGCTCTTAAGGCTTACCGGTGTTAGGTCGGATGAACGGAGTTCTGGTCGTCTTACTGGTCCCCAACCTGAAACTGATATGTTAATTTCCATAAATGAGGGGGGCCCAATAGAGACCCCAAATGCTATGATGCTTATTTTGGGATCCCAAACAAGGTACCCCTGATTTTGGGAAACGCCCATATCACAGGGGCTAGGGCCTCAAAGCACCGCTTTGAGTCTTTGCTGTTTACTCGGCAATGAAATGACCAAATACCCACTATGGAAGTCCTCCTTGTTCGATGGTGCTCCGTTTATACCCTTACAGCTTAGGTTGACAGCAGGCTGGACACTCAAGCCTCAACCCCAATGCCCCAGGCCCTGAACTCTACCAGAGTTTAATCTCCCAGCCCCATATGCCAAACCTTGAATCCGGGCACCTTAAACCCCAACCCTTCAGCTCATATCCTCAAACAATAAGCTAAAAGCATTCAGACCTTAAGCCATCACCTAAACCCAAACTGTCGAAAATGCTCAGCCAAGGCACGTTCGAGCCTACAGAGACTTCCGGTGCTCTGCAGCCCAAGGGACGTCCTCGCGCCTGCAGTTACGTGGTTTAGGGATTAGGGATTAGGGTTTAGGGATTAGGGTTTAGGGATTCGAGATTAGGGTTTAGGGATTAGGGGTTAGGGATCAGGGTTTAGGGTTTAGGGATTAGGGATTAGGGTTTAGGGATTAAGCTTAGGGCTTGGCTTGGCGTTCAGATTCGCTTGTGGTTTGGGGCTTACTATTTATGGCCCATCTGTTTGTCGCGTGCCCGGATGATGCCGGATCCAGACAGGTTGGTACCAAGGCTCACTTTGGGCAACGACAATGACAGATGGTTCCCAGGAAGACTTGTAATTATGCAGGTCCTTTTATTCATGTTTTGGATTCTTTTGCTGAGCTTGTGCAATTTTTCATGTGAAATCTAAAAAGATTTCCAAACGGTCTTATCCAGGCACTGGAAATGTTTTACTTCGCCAGAGGGGTCGGAATTTCTCTAAGCTGGCCAGGGAGCGGGTTTAGGGTTTAGGGTCTAGGGTTTAGGGTCTAGGGTTTAGGGTTTAGGATGTAAAGGGTTAGGGGCTACGTAAGGTGCCTCGTCTTTTGACATTATAGTCCCCCTTAAGTAGATAGAACATGGGGTATATGGGGATCCTATTATTAGCTACCCAAAGCCCTTTTCTATCTACTTAAGGTGGACTATAGGGCTTCAGATCTAAACCCTTAACCCGAAAGATGGGATGCTGAAGTTTGAAGTATGGGGCCTTTGCGCGTTTTATGTGGATGTGTAGGGACCCTTACGTTTACATATGGGGCATGCGTGCTTTTCGGGGTCCTGGAATATCTGGAAAAGAGAGGGCTGGCATGTTTTGTTTCGAAAATCCCATCTCTCAGAGTTTCACAGAGTCTCTAGAGAGGAGTTTCCTGTGGGTTTGGGTCTATGTCCCAGATCTGTATCTTGATTTTTCAAAATCACGAAGAGACAGCTACAGTGAATTCTTGCAAAGACTGCAGGAGCAGATATGGTAGTTTCCCCGAATAGGGGGACCCCAGTATAGACCCAAATATATTATCGTCCTCAACATTGCGAACCCCCGACGAGTACCCTTAATTTTGGGGGACCCCCACATAGGTGACCCCTAAACCCTAAACCCAAGACCCTAAACCCTAGATCCTAAACCCTAAACCCCAAAACAAGGGTTGAGAATGAGGAGCACTCGAAGGTTGAGGTGTAGGTAGAATTTGGGGTCATCGTTAGGCTAGTTTTCAGAAATTCCGAATTCATGTGACATGTAACCCCACTTGCAACTACCCATAAAGCTCCAAGTAGGATTCACTTGGTTTTGTGCTGAAGTTCTTGCTTATCTGCGGGCGTGCAGTTTCCTTTTCCGGGATGTCAATCACAGGGGTTATCAACATACATGGCAGGCATTCTGTGACGACATATCCTTGTGACACGGGGCTTCCCAAACTTGAGGGCATCTTTTTTCTGGGTCTGTGTACAAAAGATCTTGCAATTTGCGGGAATTAAAAGGGGGTGCACGTTGATGGAAATTCCCACATAGTGTCTCAGAGCTTCGCATGCGTGAGTTTGGTGTGTAAAGTCAGGCAGTTAGGGTGCTTCTAAGGCTTCTGGCTTGGAAGTTCATGTGTAGCTGTAGGACAAGTAGTTACAAACAGCGTATTTGTGTGCGTGCCTAGAATCGTACAGTAGTTGCAACCATCAAAGATGAATCTTGTCGAAGAGGACCCCTTTCGTCATGTCTCATGAACTTTTCAGTCATGTTTTACAGAGCACGTTGGAGATTGTGGTATGGTGCTGACCTGATGCCGCGCATTTCTTCCGAAAGGGATCATTGCACTTGCACCCAAAGATCGTAGAGTCCCTCTTGCAGAGACGGGAAGAGGCAAGCGACGATCCTGATCTTGGCATATTTGCTATCCTGCGTATTAACCTTGATATGATTGTCGGCGAACTTGTCGGAAAGCCTCTTCGAGCATGACTGCGGCCAAATGGATGTTAGCATCGGTTTTCTGAATTTCATGGGCCACCTACTTGTCTGGAGGTTAGAATCAGCAGAAAGTGTGTCACATTTTTTTGATCTACAGTGCGGTTCTAGCTTCTGCCCGCATCTGAGGAAGCCACTTACAGCCATTTGCTACCATCCTCCTAATGCATATTAATGTAATGAGGTAGGTATGGTGGGTGTTTTCATAGGAAGCACTACCTTAAGCACCCCCGCATTGCCTGTTACCACTTAGGATCTACACTTCTCACGAAGACACATCTCTGCCTGATGCCCTAAACCCTAAATTTGTGCAACATCCTCTTCACTTGCAGTAACCCTCCGCCGCCGAGCCCGCCTAAAACCTACACCCTAAACCTCCATTAGAGTAGTTTCCATTTTTATTTTCCATTATCCCTATATAGCCCCAATCTATCCCCAATAGAAACCCACACGCCTACATCCCCAAATGCGAGAAGCTAAAGCCCTATTATAATATATCTACTTGAGGCGAACTGTAGGGGGTTGGGGTTTGGGGTTTAGGCTTAAGGGGGTTCAGAGTTTATGGTTGGGGGGGTTTAGGCTTTAGGGGGTTTGGGGTTTAGGCCCCAAGAAACACCCAGGCCGGGTTTTCGAGTGGTATCTCAACGAATACATTCCAAAACTCGCCGACGTGCCCATTGTCTGGGGTGTGCCGAGCCCAGTTCCAGAGGTGTTTGGGCATACCACTATGGGCTATTAGACCCTAAAATTCCCTATTAGGACCCTATTAAAGGGTAGGTTAAGGTACCCTTAAGGTCCAATAGCCCATAGTGGTAGGGTTTGTGATAAGCTTTTCAGGATCAGAAACCTAAAGTTCCCCATAAACCCTGGAGTTACTATCTATGTGGGGGATTGTCAAAATTCTGGTCCTTTTTTGGGTCCCTATTATAATACGGGGCCTAATACGGGGCCTAATTTAGGGGACCCAAAAAGGGACCATAATTTTGACAATCCCCCATGTAGAAAACTTCTAGTCCACATCCACTTTAAGTCAATCTCGGCTCCCAAAGCACTGTAAGGGCGGCGGTAGGGAATGTGAGGTGGTGCAAGACTTCCTCCATCCACAAGAGCAAGACTCCTGTTTTTCAGGGCCTGGCCTCGTCAAAATGCCTGCCATGTTTCAGGTTTTGGTTATAGTCCCCTTAAGTAGATAGAAGATGGGGTATATGGGGGCATTGTAGTACACCCGAAGCCATATTCTATTTACTTAGGGGGGACTATATGTTAGAGACGCCCAAGGCCTCATAATATAAAATTGCAATAGGGCAATCACACGGGAACAGTCTTGGATTATAATTCCTATATAATCCTTGTACAATCCCTACATAGCCTCTATATAATCCCTATATAGCCCCACATAATCCCTATATCATTTTGTCATTCTTCGGGCTTCTACAGTCGACAGCTGACAGACATGAGGGCCTGTCCCTTGGATTTGCAAGGGTTTCTGTCTCAGAAGCGATCGGAAACACTTGTTGAGGGATCCTGGCATTTGTTTGGTTTTTTGGATCTTTGATTAAAACTTGTGGGAGGCTACGCAGTGTCTTACATGAAGTGCGCATCATGATGGATTTCGGCATTGCTAGATATTCTTCATTTGGGGTATTATGGAGCCCGGGATCATAGATTAAGATTACATCCTACATGTTGTAATGAGACCATGTTTTCCTAGGTCCACTCACGAAAAGACACCACTCAGTCCAATATCTTTGGTTCCCCTGCCATGATAATCAGCCCGGATAAATGTTCATTAAAGAAAACACGCGTAAGCTTTAGAAAATCCCCACGTCAAACCCAGAGCTCTACCTCAAGCTTACCTCGGTTAGCAGGGAAGGAAGGAGTGGACTAAAATTAGAATTGACACTACTATGATTCAGGTGGCTATCCGTGGCTTGTAGGGCTGGTTCCACCTCAGCCCTCTTGTTGACAACACACATTCTTGAAGTCCATGAAGCTTACCTTTGTCTCTTTCCAAACATCATTTCGAACAATTTGGTTCCCGATTGAGTTCTCTGACTTGTATGTTTCTGGGGATGAATGTACTGGGGCCTAAACCCTAAACCCTAAACCCTAGAGGCTTCATTCTTGCTTTGAGCCAGGTTTGTTGACGACCCAAGGGGCGCTGCACCTGAAGAATCGCGTCGGTAACGTACAGTGCCAGGTAGGAGAACGCTGAAGTTATAGCCAGATTCTAACCAATATCCCCACATGGTGACCATTCTTCATAGATAGTACTCCTCCCCATATGGTGACCAGTCTTCATAGGTAGTACTCGTTTTTCGTAGTATAGCCGGCCGTGAAGTACTCCGAGGTCGTCGATGCAGGTGAAAGAAGAGTTTTGGGTTTCGGGTTTAGGATTTAAGAAGTTCTTCATGTGGGAACTTCCCGAAGTTTGTCAAATCAATTTTTTACAATCCGGAAAGAGGCGCCCACTGGTTTCATCCTTTCTAACAATTCTATACACCTTGGCGTCCCTCAGGGTACCCGCCCCGATCCGGGAAATGCCCACAATCAAAAACCCAACCTATGTCAGATATCGCGTGAATGCCTTGTTGACAGTTCAGCCCGAGACTCTTATCCGGACATATCCGGCTGTTGATCATCTTTGAGCACTCAAAATGAACCATCCCAGTGTATTCTTGCCCCACCCCGGTCACGGTTTGTTGACCCGTGGCTATTCTCCTGAATCCCCAATAAGAACTGCAGAGCCGGAGCCCTGAGCTTTAAACCCTCGGTAATGGGGAGGCTAACATCTGAATGTGGGCTTATTTCAGATGCCTAGATCCGTGTTAGTTGAGGTTTCGTATTTTCTTCTGGGGGTGAGGGCGGTGCCTGCTAAGTTGTTGCTTGACAAGGTCCACTGCCGGAGCGACACAGTCTCCAGTTTCAATGATGCTTGCACCTCAGTTACTGTCCTTTTTGAGCTTGTTTTCATGCGCGCCTACTCCCCAGAAGCCTCTCTACTGCTTCCTAGGTGGTCTCTAGATATTCTCATGGTCCTCAACCATACCACCGTCGGTGGTTCACATGCAAGGGGGGGCCAGCCCGAAGCTTCAACCTCAGCAAGTAGATCCAATGGAGACTCCTAAAGTAGAGGAAATGGATCCCTTGTAGTTGTCAATCTCTACACTCCCTTATTATGCTAGGTACCCCAGTGCCCTTTTTCCCTTTTTATGTTGGGGTCTCCTTCTTCAAGCTGAAGATAGCAGAAAGGGTACTCTTATTATTAAGGGGTTACTGGGGAAACCCCCATATTCTATCGCGAGTCCCTATGATCATTCCTCCTATGCCTATTACGCATCATGGAGGATAAGGAGTTATGGGATCAAATCATAGATTAGGGTTTAGGGTTTAGGGTTTTGGGAAAATGTAGTGGCCTAAGTAAGTAGAAGAAGACCTGAGAGAATAGTATAGTGCAGTTGTGAACGATTACCAGGGCATAGTAAATTTTAGCCACACCACACCTTTCAGATCAGGGAATAGTATTGACCCTGGTATTGGTGTTGGCCCAGGCTTCTACAGTATACACCTTTTGAAGCGCTGGACGGTTCGTGTGTCCCAGTTTGCAGCAGGGTGCTCATCCTCTACCTCCCGCTACCAGAAAAAGACATGAAGAGGGCGGTTGCAGTGCTAGCGCTAGAACATGTGTAGGATTTTCAAAAACAGGGGGACCAATGTATAGCCCCAAGAGGGGACCCCAAAAATGGAAGCCCACGCACGTTTTGGGTCCTATAAGTCATGAAATAAGTGACCATCCGGATAGTATTGGAGTTGATTTGTGATATTGATACTGGCAGTTCGAATTGCGCAGTTTAGGTTTAAGGTTGCGAGCAATGCGAATCACAATGCATTCAGGGTGCCAGGTGGTGCAAGATTTCCTTCATGTATCCACCGTAGGGATCATTCTTTGTTGCTAGTGCAAAGGTGAGCACAATCATCGACACGGTGGGTGCCGCTTACCTGGTATTTATGGCCCAATTATGCTAGACCCTCACCCTACGCAGTAAACACCTAAATCCCAATCGAGGGTTTAGTTTTATGGCTTCCGAAAAATTAGGGGCTGGCGCCAGAAGTCCCTAAGATGAGCGATCAGGATGTAGTTGGACGTATTTCAGGGCCCACTTTTTCTGGAACTCCGCACCTGCGCACATGACCTTATTGCGCTACCTGGTTAGTAACCCTAAACCCTAAACCCTAAACCGACCTTTTTGCGCTACCTGGTTAGTACGGCACGCATGGGATCTTTGCATCTGCTAAATGCTGACGACTCCTGGCGTGTCGTCTGTTCTCATGGGTTTAGTTATCAGACGCTCCAGGATTCATGTCTCTTCTTGGGGTTTAGGGTTTAGGGGCCCAAAATGGTCCTAAACCCTTACCCTGAAGCCTCAGCCCCGAGTTTAGATTTTACCCAATTAGATCTCTTGGTTTCGGAAATTGTTTTATTGCGTCAGGACAGAGGGCTGGTCCTACCTTGCTGTTGGTCAATAGGATTTAAGGCTACCTCCCCATAATGAAGAATCAAACGGAAAGGGAACTGGAAAACGAGACCGGCATTGATTTAGGGGTCATATGTCCTACATTTAGCTAGTAGTGAATGGAGGACCGGAAGAGAACATGGAAAACTGTCTTGGGGATTACATACTGGCTACTATATCGACCCATTCCTCTATTCCCTCTATCCTATGCACAAATTTTTGTGTCCATCTAGCAAAGCACTTCTCGACGTGCATACACATGTAGCTACATGCATGCATTCCTTGTAGAGGGTGTCAGACGCATCGCGCAAGAATACTTCATCTCCTGTATCGCTATGGCATGAAAGGGCCCTCCTACAGCTTTTCAAGTTTTCCATTGTTGTTTTGAGAACGTTCATTCACAAGTTTCCCAGCTGGTTTCGTTTGCTTCACGGCGCAGGTTATATTGTCCTTAGTAGGGACCCATCAATGACCTCTTGTTCATCTTCATGTTTCCCTGAGTCCCTGATCGGGCCACCGATTTGAGAAACCTCCACATGTGTCTTGTGGCCTGAAAAGTGTGTCCTTGCCGCCTGTATGGAGATAGGTGTGGGATGTTGAGTAAACCTATACCATGATCCCTAGATTAAGCTTGCGTCGCTTCTTTGCATTCATGCTACCAAAGGAAACGGCTCACCACTCGAGAAAGCGCTGCCATTCCCGAATGATTGAGGCTGTTGCAAGATTGGTATAGATGGGTAAAGTCCAAGTTACAACTAGGTTATAAGCCGTAGGCTCAGATGAAAAATTGACGTCTTCCTGCCTAGAGATTGGGTCGACCAGGTCTTTCTGGCTAGAGGGTGTATGGTTCATCCAGAGCTCCTTGTAGTGACTTCAGTGGCTGGTTTGCAGCATCTTGATCAATCACAGGTCTGATTGTGGGCGAGGGTTCAGCCTTCTACGCTGAAGGGGTTCTGACCTTCAAGCAGCAGATGCCAACATCCGAATTCTAAACCCTAAGCCTTAATCTTTCAGCTACTAGTAGGTGCCCATAGTGCATCAATCCTTTGAGGCAACAGGATCAGGGACACCCAGGTGGGTAGGTACCAGGTGGGTATCCCTCATGTAAGACCCATACGGGGCTCGTATAAGGGTACTATATGAGGTCTACATAGGCCTCCTTCAGGGGCACCCACCTGATAACTATCTACCTGGATCCTGGCTCATCTCTAGGTTCGGGAGCTTCCCCCAAACTAAGGAGTTTAAGGTTTAGGGTCTACATGGAAAACCAAAAGGCCCCCAGAAGACTCCTTACAAACGGGGGACTTATGGGCTTCCGTATCAGTTTGAGGGAGGTTGCAGGGTTCAGGGGAAGCCCGGATTACAAGCTCAAGTGACATGGCCGTCTTACCAAGTCGGGCAACCCTTAGCCCTAAACCCCAGACCCTAAACACTGAAGCCTAAGGCGTGTCCGCTGGGGAGGGACGTCGTCTTTTCACGTCAGCTTTTCCTTGTCGGGATCTTCAACTTTCTAGCTTACTTTGCAGTCAACCCCCAAACCTGATCAGAGGCAGCCAAGGTTCCTGGTTCGTGAGGCGAAGTTTGGCTTTCTTAACGATCTGCCTGTGAAAAAGGGTTATACAGGGTTCACATGGGGAATATGTAGGGGAGCTCTAGGAATGATGGAAAAGAAGGTGGGAACTAGTATTGGGGGTTTAGGGCCCAGGGTTCAGTTCTAATTCTTTGGAGCTTGCTCTACGTCACAGTCAGCGAATGTCTTGGATCCGCGCGTGGGTTGCATAGACAGGCTGGGTCCAGAGCATTTTAAGTGCTGAGCCTACACTCTGTAGTCCAAACAAGTACCCCTTGGGGGAGCCGCATCAGTGCCCTTGCAATCTAACATATGTTCAAGACCAGATGCTTGCTGAAATGTGCTCCCAAATCTGCCAAAGATGTTCAATATTGTCTTGGGGTATCACAGGTATCTCACAATGGCAAGATGACCTCAACCCTAAACCTTTAACCGCGTGTAATATTGTAATTGTCTGTGATATGACAGGTCCCACAAGACGACGCAAATTCAGATTACCCGCGGAAGCGCAGGCAGGAGGTTTATTTGAGGTACCCTTGTCCACAACTATATGTACTATAATCTAAACTCCTTAAAGGGTGTTATATAGGGGACTATATAGGGGACTACTATAGGGGATACTAAGGGGGATACTAGGAGTTTAAATTATAGCTCATATGAGGACTGGGACCATCATATTGATAATTACAAAGGCATCTACATTGCCCTGTCTCGTGTTGGATGCTGGGCACGCCCCGTCCCTGTAACAGTTCAATGATTTTGAGTATGGTAGTATGAGAATCAGCGTAAGGCGGGACTTTTATAGGGTGGGGTCAAGGTTTTTGCGGATTTTGGGTTCGGCGTTTAGGGCCTTGGGAGTTCAGGTTTTATGGTTTTAGGATTGTACGGGTTCAAATAGCGGAATTTGATGAGTTTGCTCTACTGTAAACAAGCGTGGGAACCCATACAAGCCTGTCTGACAAGAGCTGTCGTCTCTGTAGGGACCCTTTGAATATTTCAGTGTGCAGGCTCATGTTGCTAGTTCCAGCGTTCCGCCAACCCTAAACTCCACACCCGAAACCTCGTGGTCAGGGCTGAGGGTGTGGAGCGGGTCTCGAGGCTTCTGGCCCAGTTTTGGACCATGGTCTTGTATTCAGATATCGAGGAACTTGCTGGAGCGGGTTGCCCGACAACGTTGTGTAGTTTCTAGCCGCTCTTTTGTCATGGATTTGGCAGGTGGAGGGTTGGGGGCGTGGGTTTAAGTTCTGATTTTTTTTGCCCCGCGGTGCTCAGCCAGGGTGGGCGTGCCGGATCCCATTGTAGCCTCGGTATAGTCACAATAGTTCCCGACTACAATCCACACCCCGGCTTCCAAATAAGCACCAGGGACTGTAGAAGCTAAGAAGCTACAAGTGTTGCTTCCATTTTTTTTCATTCTGGTATACTGTACTTCAAATTAACCTCGAAAATGACATCGGCAACCCTGGAGGCCCTACACTGGCTTCTGATATCTCCATGGCAACCCTTTGGGATTGAGTTCATGTTGCTGGGAGGTCTCATCACACTTGCTTTGCTGCTGCAGAGCTCTTTAAAATCATCTGGGGGAGTCAAGGCCAACTATGAGTCTGGCGCTGGAAACCAGAGATGATGATTTAGGGTTTGGGGCGGCTGAACCCCTGAGCTGAAACCTTGCGCCCGGAACCCTAAAGCCTAAACCCTATGTTTCACAAGTCCGAAGTGGTGGTGCCGGACTTCAAAACAAACCCTTGAACGACAATCAGCAGTGCTCATGGGCTAGGGTATAGGGTTAAAGGTTTAGGGTTAACGTTTAAGGGCTGGGGGTTGCCTCTCAAGCCCTGTGAAGGCTAGTGTACTCCAAAACCATTAGAATCAAAAGGGGCCCGAAAAAGACTTGAGTTCCTTTCGTAGATCCTTTTACATGGGCCTGTATTGTTTTTCATGTTTCTTTTGGCAAGGGCATTAGTAGCAAAACGTAAATAGGTAAATAGTAGTAGCGTCCGTTTCGTTTTCCTTTGTCTGTTCCATTCGATTATCCATTTTGCAGCCCGGTATCCCTTAAGACTCCCTACAAAATCCCTTACATCCCTATATAATCCCTACATAATCCCTGCATGATGCTTACATTATCCCTGGATATCCCTAAACCCTGAACCCTACAATCCCCACATGGTCCTCATGTATCCCCATCTTTGGGTGAATGTCAGGGCCACTGCTTCCGGGCACGGCTACTTCAACGTCAGCTTGCTGAAGGACCTGAGTTCGAGGTGTAGGGTCTGAGGATTTAGGGTCTGAGGGTTTACGTTTTAGGGTAGGGTATTGGTTTTCTTTTTTTTCATTTTCCGCATTTTGGCTCCCTTTTTTACCTTTAGAAGGGAATATGGAAACTACCATATTGATTAGGGTGTAGGGTGTAGGGACTACTATCATGTTCCGTTCCTTCACCTCTTGTTCACCAAAGACGAAAATTCAAGTTGGGTTTTACTGTCAAATATTGACCCCTCCTAATCAGCCCATTATAACCCGATGGTAACCGTTTACCCATTTCTGTAGAAATCCTAGGGTCCCACAAAGTAGGGGCTTCAGGCTGGGAATAGGAGCTGCTAGATATGGAGTCTAGGTATGCAGGGGCTTCAGCGGTTGGGGTTTGAGTCAAGTACCTGCTGAAGGCCATCAAGTCTTGTGGACCCGAACCCTGCCTTGGGGTTCCGGTTTACGGTTTAGTGTGCTTCTGGCGACTTCCAATTTTGCGGATTGCGCGGCTGGTGCAGCTAATAAGTAAACAACAGCAGAAGAATTCTTTGCGGCAGTCTTCGGAATAGTACGACAAGCATGAGACTACTGTGCGATGTACGAATGTAGGACTCAAAATACAAGGCACTCGAAAAGGTCGCAAGCTGCATCCTGAGGCGGGGGGCTGAGTAGTTACCAGTAGTGTGGTCCCATATTATGTGTACAAGGATGATATAGGGTACCTCAATGAGCCCGCAAAATGACATCGGCAATCATTCAGGCCTTGGTGCATAACATGGTCGCTAGAACCTGCATAATATCAATTTCATATTTCATTTTCTTTTCCATTTGATTTTCCATAACTGGATGATAGATACGTGAATTGTAATTATGTAGGCTCGTACAGTTTGCTTTACCCCTCGACCCGATCCCTCTGGGACTCGCACCTTGTATAACCGCACTGTTTCTATTTCAGGGGTGTTAGGGTCAGAGAAGATAGGTAGGAAAGCCTTGAAGCTATAACCTGGTTACAGCCTGCGATCCTTCATCTTCGAAGCACATAGATGTTTGTGCTATACTGACATATAGTCCCCCTGAAGATCCTCATGTACCCCATATTCTGTCTATATTTATGCAAGGGGGACTATAAACTGACATAAGCTGCACTAGCAGGACACAAGCGAGCAGATCATCTGGAAGGACCTCCGCAACCAGCTGTCTCGCTCCGCTAAGCGACCTTGAGCTGCAGAAATAATCGCTGAGTTTAGGGTTTAGGGTCTGCAGGTCCAGAATTTCTCAGAAGTTGCAGGGAACGGGCGGGGGCTTGACACGGATTCAGCGTTGTATGAGTGCATGCGTATATTTGGGAAGTCTACGGCTCTTTCTCGGCATTCGTCAAGGTTTGAGGATTGGACTGCAGGCTTCAAGTAGGTGTACGGGTTAAAGGTTCAGGGCCACGGTTCTCATGTGCTTTCTTGGACATGCTGGGGGGAGTCAGGTGGGAGGGTTCTGGATTGGGGGCTTCGGGTGGTGATGCGGTTCTTGTGGTTTGATCCAGATGCTCAATTGGGGTTAATGTAGACCCGGCATTAATGAACCCCCTCCCCTTAAAAGGAAATATAATAGGGATCCTAGTATGAAGCCTTAAAGGAGGGAGTTCATTAATCACGGGTCCACAGTATCACTTATGACTGCGCTCGGCATGCTAAGAATTTCCGATTGACCTTTTGACTTACACTCCCGGATGTAGTCCTGACACCTCAGCTACACAACCACTGCCTACTTAGTCAACAACATAAGCGCCATAAGGCCCTCGCAGAAAACAAGCCCTGAACCCTGCCTTATCCCCGGAACCCTAGAGATTACACCTTGGGTACTGCCCCCACTCAGTAACAGTTGGATAATAATTACAATATGGTTATATATAGCCCTTAATAGGACTCCTAATATGGACTGTTACTGGGTGGGGGCAGTACCCAAATTACACCCTAAGCCCTAAACGCCCAACCATCCCGCTGCTAATTGCAGACACGCCTCGCGTCCGAGGGCAGCGACCGCGCTGGGACATGCTTGAGGAAACCAGGACCACAGCATCTCAGCGGCAAGGAGCTTCAGAGACAACATAGGGATACATGGGCGCATGCAGGGATGTGTAGGGTTGAGAGTGGAGGGGCTTGAGGCGGAAAGGCAAATGGAAAGTCAATTAAACGAGGGATTATACACTGTTTTAATTCCGAAGCCTTAAAACCTAAACCACTAAGCAGAGAACTCCAAGTTATGACCTAGTGTTTAGAACAGACTTACTAGTTTAGGGATACATGCCTCCATTTGTCCAGACTTCTAGGTCTTTGCTAGGGTTGGTTTGCGTTGCGTGCTGTACGGGCTCGCAAAGATTTCTGATCCACGTTTTGTCGCGATGTTCTTTCTAAAGCCTCAACCCCTAAACCCTAAAGAGTCAAGGTTTGGAGACTGAGGATTGTGGAGGTTACTGTGCCCTTGAACCTCAAGCCCGCGATTTGCTAAAGCCCTGTAAAACCTAATGGCTTCCCATACTTCAGGTTTTACTTGCTGATAACGTAGTGTAACAGTTCCTTAGCAGATTCCTATAAGCATGCTATGCTTGTACTGTGGACCTGGGCTTCTGAAGTTGTTGGCCCATTTTGAGGTCCCTAACACAAGGGCCCTTGTCTTTTTGGAGAATGTAGAGGTACCGCAGCTTTGAGAAATACGCATGGCTTAGAGACACTCCAACCCACATGTGCGAGCCCACGTGACTCAGCTTGGAGGTTTCTTTACAAAACCTACGGCATTTCCGAAGCCCCAACCCGGTTTAGGATTTAGGGATTTACCGCAGTCCTAGACGCAGGAGTCTGAAAAAGCTGGTGCAAGGGAATGATTGGTTTTGCTGGAACGATCTTGCACATCTGTCTGTTCTTCTATCCCAAACAACCTTAGTTATATGTTTTGAGCATATTCTTAATGAGACTTAACGCTTTGACGGGTGATCGTTTGAATAGCTTGAAGGTGCCTTGCCCTACATGTGATACACCATGCAGCATCCAAAGTTGCATGGAGAATCGTGGGGACTTAGAAAGTATACTTATAACCCCAAGAAGGCACGTAGTAACCTCAGTTGTCCTTCTTGTTATTCCACGTACGAAATCCTCGTGACCCTACAGGTGGCGGTATGAATCTGGAAGCCCTTCTTGGTAAGTTTTCTTGCTGCAGAAACGGGCTTGCATCATCAGGTTAATAGTGCAGAGCAAGAAACGAGGGCCCATCGCACCCGCATGTAGATGAGGAGTATGCAGTCCGGTTGCTGTTGTGGAACTTAGATTAGTGCACAAGCATACCAGAGTACTTGCCATATATCCAGATCCTAGTCACTTGGTTTAAAGTCCTTGAGAGGAACCCAGTATTTCTGCACATGGCCATTTGAGATCTTCAAGGGCTAGTCCTTCAGCTGCGAGTTGGAGAGGGGTCCTTAAACAACTAGCATGGAGCCGAATCGCCCCTTAAGTCAACCTAAGGTATCCAAGAAAACTTGAAGGTGAGCCCACAGAAGGTTCAAAAGGGTATCCATTTCATGTTCCATTCTCTTTTCGCCTACAGAATGACCCCCCCTCCACCCCCAGATAAAAAAAATCCTAAGATGGAACGGGACTAGAGTAAGAGCATTCGCTATTTGTGCGGCAGTTGGGGGTTGAATTTGTAGGGATGCTTCCTGCTCAAACCCTAGACCTTAAACCTTATACACCACTATTTAATCCCAGGTACATTATTGCGGTAATATTCTTGAACCTCTTTATAACTCCTACATAACCCTTTCTGCGGGACCTAGACTTTGCATTTCATTTTCCGTTTTATGTTCCAGTTGATTCTCCGTTATTTTGATATATATATATACACACACCTACAAATAAATGTATTTACACCTGTGTATACCCACAAAAAAGACTCAAACTTGATCAGGCCAACTGGAAGCGTGGGCACAATGATGCCTATGACCCGCCCTCAAAGCGCTGGTGCTGGCGCTGAAAACAGTTCTTGCGAGCATGTTGTTCAGGACTTTGCTAACTTTGGAGCTGAACGTCCGGTTGTTTGATTGTAGCAAGCTGAACCTGGGAGGCGACAGAAGCAGTGAAGAAGATGTTGCGAACCAGCCGGGAGCACCAGCGCGTTGGGTGTTGGATTGGTTCGGGCGCTACTCAAATAGGTTCATATAGGTCGGCTTGAGGATGCCTCTTGGCTTATTTTGTCGATTTCTTCTGTGGGAGGCAGGTGGAGGTAGATTGGCGAGATGCTTCGATAAGATTTGATGCCTAAAGTTCACGTTCTGGGTCTGAAGGCAAGGGTTTAGGTTGACGATGGCTTGACCCTAAACCCCGCACCCTCAACACTAATCCCTCACTCTCAAACAGGTAGTGCTGTCATGTAGACACCTGCCAAGCTCTTGCTCCTGCGCCTCGTCCCAACTTGAAGTCTTCATTCTAGTGCAACCATGATTGCCATCGTTCAACCAGTTACACTTTTCTTCAGCGTTCTGTTTTCCATCAACATGACTGGCAGTACCGTATCTTTGACTAGACCTATGACTACTGCTCAAGTATTAAGGAACTACTTGGTCCTCCGTGGTGAATTAATGAGGGCGTGGATTCTTGTAGCAGTCCCTATCTAGTCAACCCTACAACCCAGACCCCAAACAGTGTAGTCCCCTGCCCTAGAACCACTGCTTTCATCCCCTGCTGAGCCCCAAGGATTAACAACTGTATATCTGCAGTCCCGAGGACCCAGGTTCCCAAGTCTAAGCCCAAGGCTCCACGGCTTAGGGTCAAGGGTTCAGGTTTCTAGGTGCTGCCGCCCCAAATCAGAGATCTGAACACTTAAGGCCGAAGCCTGTTTGGGAAGTTTCCAAAGGCAGCTTCACGTTTGCATTGCCACACACTGGGCCTTGCACGCGAATTTGAAGCTCCCAAGCGCCATGATCCATGTATAGCTCAGGGTGAAACATATGGTAGATCAACATACAATGGCTGTATCACAGCCGGGCCGCAACAAGGGGCCACAACTTTGACAACCTAGCATCTAGCCCCCTTACAAGGCCCCAGAATTATCAGAGCAAGCTTAAATGTCAAGATTTTTATGCTTTAGCATGTATCCTTCGCATAACCGCTACGTAACCCTGAGACCCCTACGTCCCCCAAAAGGGGCCCATTCACCCAATCCCTGCCCACCCTGGACCCTAAGCTCTATCTCCAAACTCCTGAACCCCAAGCCCCAGACAGAAACCCTAAACCCCAAACCTTGAAATCTAAACCCTAAGCCCTAAGCCTCAAACTCTAAACCCCGAACCTTGAATCTGAACCCTACGCTAAACCCCAAGCCCCAAAACCCTAAACCCTAAGCCCCGAAACCTTAAACCCCAAACCCTAAACCTGAAAACCCTAAGCCCCAAACCCTAAACCCTAAACCTTTAGGGTTTAGGGTTTAGGGCCTAAACCTTGAACCCCAAGCCACTGAAACTGCAAGGCCCGGGGCCCGAAGCTCTGGGAGTGGCGCTGGGGCATCTGTGCTGAGCCGTTTGTGAGATTTAGGGCTTTGGGGGTTCAGGGATTTAGGGTTTTAGGGGTTCAGGGTTTTAGGGGTTCAGGGTTTTAGGGGTTTAGGGGTTTTAGGGGTTCAGGGTTTTAAGATTTTTAAGGGGTTTAACTTTGGATTTGGGCTTCAGGGTTGAGGGTTCAGGGTCTAGGCTTGGGTTTTGAGCTTAGAGTTTAGGGTGCAGGGTTTTGAGGTGAGAGTTCAGGGTTTCGAGTGACTGTAGAAGAGACATCAGGCTAAACCCTAAACCCTAAACCTTACTGTAGAGGCCTGAATGAGCATGAGCATTGTCTCCATCAGGGATCAGGGCTTGGACTGCGGAGCTATTCAGGATTACTGGAGGTTCATGAGTTGTCAGAAGTATGGTTCCAGGAAACAAGGCCCCTAAAGTAGAACATGACGTCATAGCTATGCTTATCTTTGAATGGTTACCCCAACTAAAATTACCCATGCACCTGAATATTAAGCCTACAAACACCAAACCTCTAAGCCCTAAACCCTAAACCCTAAATCTTAAACCCTAAACCCTAAGCCCTAAACTCTAAACCCTAAACCCTAAGCCCTAAACCTTAAACCCTAAACCCTAGACCCCAATTTTCAGACTTGGGGTTGAGGAGTTGGGGTTCCTGGCCTAGAGCTTCGGACTGGACATTCGTGATCGTTTCGGAAGCCCCCAATTCGGGTTGTATAGGCTTTATTTAGGGTTAAGGGTTTATATAGGATTTAGGGTTTAGGCTTTGTACATCTTTGTACAGGGTTATATAGGGTGTAGGGTTAATATAGGGATATTCCGGAATTATAAGAACCGGATTTTGGCATCCCGTGGTTAGTGTTCAGGGTTTTGTAGGATGGGACGTGTTGAAGGGTCTTCATACTCAGCACCGTATGATTCATGAGCTTCAGGGCACTTGCGGGTGAGACCCCACGGTTTAATTCTGCAAAACCCACGGCGCAGTTCATAAATTAAAGCTAAGTTTTTTCAAGAATGAAACAAAGTAATTTACCATACATATCCATGTCATGGTAACTTTCATGAAGTTTCTTTGGTACCAAAATGCTGAAACCCCATGCATACCATGTATCCACACTCTAGCAAATCATTTCTCTAACAACAACTTAACTCCAAACACTACCCATAGATCTTAAATCCCGGAACCCTAAACCTTAAACCCTAAACTCTAAATCCCAGAAACCTAAACCCTAAACCCTAAACTCTAAATCCCGGAACCCTAAACCCTAAACCCTAAATCCCGGAACTCTAAACCCTAAACCCTAAATCCCGGAACCCTAAACCCTAAGCGAAAAGGCACTTGGCTGGGCGCGGCTTAGCAAGTTGCGCGCGGGAGCCTAGCCTTCCGGGCGGAAAAAACTGGGGTGGGGTGGGGTGGGGGGCTTTAGGGTTTAGGGTTTAGGGTTATGGATTGTAAGCTTTTAGTTTAGGTCTGTGGGGTATAGGTATAGGGTTGTAGGATTTGGAGGTGTAGGGTTGCAGGGTTTAAGGTTTAGGGTTCACCGTTCAGGGCTTAGTGTTTAGGGTCTAGGGTTACAGGTTTCAAGTGTGCGATTAATGTGTAGGCTTCGGAATGTGGAGGGTTCGTTCAAGAGCTGAGGGTTTAGGGTGAAACGTTCAGGGGTCCCGAAAACTATCTAGTCGCCTGAATTTGAACGCTAAACCTCAAACCCTAGAAGCTAAATTCTAAACCCTTAAAGCCCTAAACCTAAATAAAGACTAAACCATGAACCCCGAACTCAAAGCCTTCAAACTTAAAGCCTTATGTTTCTGTGGTCCTGTGGGCTCCGCTTTCAGTGTTGGAAAGTAGAGTGGAGTTTGTCAAGCTCGTTTTCCGCAGGGCCATAGGGTTCAGGGGTTTATGGCTATAGTTTCTGGCTAGCGGGTGAAACCAAGCTTGTGGGTTTTCGTTGTTCAAGGCCTTTAGGGACTGGAGTTTTGGGCTTAGGCTTGGATTCTAAGTTGTGCTAGCCGGAAGAATTCCAGAGATATGCTGTGACTAGAAGGCTACGTCGAGGTCTCGCTTTTTTTTAATGGTGATATGTACCCTTCCCACGACTTGGAACGGAGATCCGACAAATGGGCTCTGGAGAGGGTGCTAAGTGACTAGTATCTCTTTACAGGGAGCCTTCCGGGGCTCCGTGCAGTTCGTGTGAGTGTATGGTGTTAGTGGCTGCTAGAAGGATTTACAGGTCTGGGGTTGAGACATTTGGGGGTGTCATCTCGAAGGGGCAAGATTATGCAGAGCTCTGTTTGGGGTTTAGAGTGCAATGCTCTAGGGTCTTGTGTTGAGGTCAACATTTGGAGCATCCACGCTTCTGTCTTTGCCCTACAGAGTTAAATTATCGCCAATGTCGTCGGTATTGGGAAACGTGGGCATTACATGCCTTGGAAGCTTCGTGCTGGTCAAATACTAGTTAGCCTAAACCCTAAACCCTAAATCCTTAACTGATACCTGGTTCCGCATGCTGTGCGTGAAGGCATCAGGCTAAGGATGCCATCCATCCCAAAACCCGACACCCTAAACTTATTTAAGTGCAAGGGACCATCCCCTAAACCCCAAATGGGGTTTAGGGCTGCCAAAATTTGGGATCCTTCTTTAGTGGGGTCCCCAGAATGAACGTGAGTCTGCGCATGGTGTTCCTCACCACGGAGGCCCTGTGGAAAGGGGATCGAGGTCATATTCATCCGATCTCATGGTCGAGCAACCTTGTTCGCAGGGTATGCAGGTCGACTATCCAAGCGGAAGCCTACACCTTACAGGCCGGCGTTGAAGACGGCGACGTGGTAAGGTCCGCTGTCACGGACATCTTCGGATGTCTGGACCTAAAGCGCTGGGAGGCCACCTCCGCTGGATTTATGAGACAGATCTGGATGACAGACTGTAAAAGTCTCGAGTCAACCCTTAAGAACCCTAAGTGCAACAAACACTCAGACAAGCGGTTGAGTATCGAGATCGCGTCCCTGAGACAGGATCTCTGGAGGAAGAAGGGCGATGAAGCAGGTGACCCATTCTACGACGACTATAGGCCTGCGAATGATCAGTTGACTGACATCGTGTGAGATGGATAGATACCGACGTGATGATCGCGGATCCTCTCACAAAAGTAATGGAACCAGTCAAGCTGGTGGAAGCCCTATAGACCAACGTTCTCGACATCGAACAGCCCATTGACAGTGTTGTCAAGAAGCGGGCAAAACAGCTCCAGAGGCGAAAGGGTGATCACGCTTAAGGCACCTTGAAGCATGAGACGGCAATCACCTGATACCGATCTCCTAGATGGCCAAGTAAGTTTTCACCACACTGACGCCAGAAGAGTCACGGGTGTGAATAAAGGCTCAAAAGTAGCGCGTACAGTGTGTGTACAGGACATGTACAGTAGGCAAACTTGACCTTCCTACCGCAGGGGCCCCTTTTTGGAGCCAAGCTCAAGCTACGGCAAAAGTACTAGTCTTCGCATCCCCCTTAAATGGATAGAATACGGGGTATATAGGGATCTTATTATAAACTCTATCGCGCGCCCGCCTTGGCTGGCGGGGCGCGGTGCATACGAATAGGTCATGGCATGTAGTTGACACGTGGGGTTTAGGGTCGAGGGAGTAACAAAGGCAAGCTTGCTTCGGACGGGTTTGTTGCATGCATTTTCCAGCTCATGGAAGGGTTGGCTGGGGTTAGTCCATCAGTGAAATAGGAAGTTGGGGAAGGTGGGTAAGGGTGGGGGAGGAGGGGGCGGGGAGGGGGGGAGAAAAAGGTTTTGCTCGCTGCCGCATATGCGACAGCTTCAAATCTGGGGCGAGGCTGGAATTTCACGTGGGATGGTCAGGCTGGACTAGGCCACCCACCATGGGAGGGCGGGGCATCGCCACGAGATTCAAAAGAAAGGTTTTAGAGGGTTCTGAACGCCCTGAGGCTGGATAGATAGCCTGGGCGAATATACCCAAAGCCACATTCTATCCACTTAAGGGGGACTATAGGGTTTCAGTAGACCCCAAACCCTAAACCTTAGTGAAGGGTCGCATTCACAACCCGGTCCCTCAGTGCATGGACACTAGCTGCAAGAGGGGAGCATTCCTTGGACATCTTTCCGAGCTGCTCGATCATGGCGTTCTGCACAGACTGAATGCAGCCGACAGTGAGGCGCTGATCTTTTGAACTGGAACGCGTTGCTGTGTTCAGCGCGGTGACCGCTTGGCGTTGCTGCTGGAGGGATGCCATCTGCCTGTGTACATTGACCGTGAGGCCCTTGACTTCCATGATTGATGCGGGGAGCCACAACAAACTGGGTGACGGCCATACGTAAACCTTGTGATGAAGCGCCCTACTGATTGTATGTGCTGTTTGCATGATCACAAACTCTGTGCCCGACTCGATTCATACATATTGATGTGGCCAGCTATTTGTATGGAAATCTTGAATCAGTTGCATTCATATGCGCAACCAGTATAGCTCAACTGTTAGCTGGATTTGAGTCATGTTGGAAATTTTTGGTTTTTGGAATCAACAAATACCACCCTGTCCATGGTGATTGATAACCCTTCGTTTGTGTTTTCGAGGCTGGGAAAAAATTTCTTTGACAAGTTACCCAACAGGTTTTCCGAGTTTCCTCCCACCCTTGAACGCAGTTTGAGCGTGAAGAGTTTGAATCCGTCGACGCGGCTAGCTAAAAGAGTATTGACGGCTATTTGTTGTTGAGTCCCATGTTTCAAAAACACATGTCCAAAAGACATTGCGCTTCAACTCTTAGTTGAGTGATTTGAGTGATGTTCAAAGCTTTGGTCTTGCATGAAAAACCCCAAAAACCAACTGTTAATGTTGTGTTGGCCATGGGTGACTGCGGCGCTTCACGGCATCCGCAAGCTTTCTTTGGTCAGAGCGATCTGGTTTCAGTAGGCGCACGTGTGCATTAGGACCGCTTGGACAGGAACATGTATGGGCTTGTTCTCAAAAGACAAAGGATGAGAATGAAGGGAAATGTGGTGCAAGCTACATGCGTCATGCTGCTCTACATTCGCGTGCAGTATGCTCACGTAGGGCTATTGATGCGTCAAACTTTCGTCCGTAAGGCATCAAAACCCATCTCCACGTAGAGTTGCGAAGAGCTTGCACACAACATGTTTTATTGGCTAGCATTCAGCGAGACTTGCCTAGCTGATGACATTTGCAAAGCAAAAGGCAAGTACGGAGCAAAGCCATTGCATGGTTACGGGTGCCAAAGAGGGAGTTCAATGAGGAAAATCCGTTGATTCGATGGCTGAGTGCCATGGATGAAGGGATCGCGGCAAAGGACAGCTGTTGGAGAATCTGCTGATTTGCGAGAGTTGTGCCTTGACGAAGTGCCGGGTTGTTTGAAGTTTCTTTGAGCTGCTTTGGTGGCTAAACAGCGCAACAACATGAAGCAACACTGGCATTGGTCCAAGCTGAACTCGTTTGTAGATGTTGGGTTTTCTACGTTTGGTCACAGCAGTTTCAAGCACACTTGTTCACGCGCATGGTAGCAGAACTCCAAGGTTCGTCCGGCAGCAACGCTGGATCAACTAGGGTTATCATCCGGGCACGTGAAAACAGCAGACATGACTTCCGATGGTTCCACCATGCCAAGACTGTTTGCGACTGCGCAGGCAGCCAAGGCAGACGAGTCTTCGGAAACCCGGAAAGCAGTTCGCAGGGTTGCAGTCCTTGGCGGAGGTGCCTTTGGGACAGCCATGGCAAATCACGTAGCCAGCAAGGGCATCTTTGTCAATTTGTGGGCAAGAGAAGAGGAGGTTGTTCAAATCATCAACAGCAAGCATGAGAACACCACCTTCCTAGCGGGGATTCCGCTCAGCGAGAAGATCGTGGCAACTGCAAGCGTTGCAGAGGCCGTCTCAGAGGCTGAGCTGCTTTTCCTCATTATCCCCACGCCTTTCATCGCGAAGTGGCTGGAGGAAAATCAGACCATGCTGCCGTGGCAGGTCCCTCTGGTGTGCTTCAGCAAGGGTATAGAGCAGCAGAGCCTTCGCACCCCATACGAGATCTTGGTTGACGAGTTGCCAGGAAAATACCATGCTAAGCTGGCGGTGGTGAGCGGCCCGTCTTTTGCAAAAGAAATAGGGGTCGGCTTGCCGACGAGTGTGACATGTGCTGCACAAGATATCGAAGTTGCCAAGCAGATCCAGCTTGCACTTGCAACTCGAAACTTTCGTGTGTATACAGCTTCCGATGTGATCGGCGCGGAATTGTGCGGAGCACTCAAGAATGTCCTGGCGATTGCTTGCGGCGCCAGCGACGGTTTCGGCTTCGGAGCCAATGCGAGGGCAGCCTTAATCACTAGAGGCTTGGCTGAAATGACTCGACTTGTGGTCAAAAAGGGCGGCAAAGCCTCCACGATTACTGGTCTGGCAGGAGTCGGTGACTTGGTACTCACCTGTAGTAGCAGCCTCTCGCGAAATTACTCCGTTGGGCAAGCCATGGCTATGGCAGCAAGGAGTCAGCCACAACAAAAATCCAAAGAAGACTCTTCCAACAATTTCAACCGAGATCTCGCTGTCGCGGAGGGAGTGAAGACCAGCCTTGCAGTACACCTCTTGGCAGAAAGACTGGGCGTGGAAATGCCCATATGTGAGTCTGTTTATGAAGTCATCCACAAGGGAATTGACATCAAGACGGCGTTGCGCAAGTTGCAAGACCGTCCGCTCAGAGCTGAGCACGATGAGTACCAGGGTACGTGGGTTTGGAGTGCTCTTTGATATCATTGCTGTCAGGCTTACCCTCTCTGCAGTCGCACGTGTCTATTTGTTTAGATATTTACGGCATGTAGAACGACTTCTGTTTTCTTACCATTGCTGTAGTTTTTGTTTCATGTTGCACCTGCATTTCACAAAATGAGAGTCCTGCAACCTCGTGGTTGCGTTTGGAGTTCTTATTCCCGTTCCATGGCTGAGATGCTCACTTTGCGTGTCCCGTGCTGCTGGTATTACGCCGGTGCCTGGACGCTGTGTGTGGATGCACAGCCATTTCTAGCCGCACAGACGCCCAAAGCTCTGCGGGCGGAAACTTATGCAGATACAGGTTTCAAGAACCGGCCAGACATGAAAAGAGTTGTGCGAGTGGAAATTCAAAATCTGTGAGCTGTTTTGTAGGGTAGGTGTTCTCACAGCGTGTCTTTATGAACTGATGAGTACAGCTTCTTGTTCTGAACTAATCTAGAAATCCGGACACCCCCTTGAAACGGCCGAGGAGCTGGAAGAGTTCGAGGCTGTGAAGGATTTCCAATGGGAGCAGGAGTGAAGGTCTCTGACAGTGTTCTTTCATGCGCACGCAAGATGGGGATTATAGGGTATATACTGGGGTTTTACTGAGATAATGGAAAATAAAATGGAAACTACTATTTAGGGCTTAGAGTTAAGGAATATGGGTACGGCAGCCTTTCTGCTATTGCACTTGGCATTTCCGAGTTGTTATGAATGACCCAGATACGCCACCTTGCCATTACAGCGCTTATGAGGCATCTAGATTTCTTAAGATATTACTGGGGTTAAGTTTTGTTTCATACCCTAAACCCTAAACCCTGTTGCCATTGGTTCCCATTGCAGCTTTGCATCAGTGCCGAAGGAGCTCAAAGAGCCCTATGGGCGATGTCCAACATTCCTGTTCGACAAGGCAAGATGGGGATTACATATAGGGATTATATAGGGAGTATAGGGAGCATATAGGGATTATATAGGGATTATCTAGGGATTATAGGGTATATACTGGGGTTTTAATGGGATAATGGAAAATAAAATAGAAACTACTATTTAGGGCTTAGAGTTAAGGTATATGGGTTACTGCAGGCTGTTGCCTGTCACTGCGGATGACATCAGGATTGGGATACGTAGAGTTTTCTGCTGAGGCAGTTATCACTGTTGCTATTGTCTTGGAGCATGTTTTTTCATGACCGGCAGCGTGCCGGTATCATTTTCAATAGGGATCCTGAAGCTTAAGAAGCTCTAGTACAGAACTGCAGGCCTTCCTTACCTGACCTGTCCCTGAGTTAAAGCGCATCAAATCAAGTGTATGGCAGAAGAGAACTGCTGAAGCAGACAGGGGCTCTCATGACTCCACTTTTTCTTGCCCTTTGCTGACAGGCCACTACAAAGATGCTGCAAGACCGACAGGCAATCCTGGGCCAATTGCGTGCAACTACTGGTAGGGCTCTTCCCACCACAATGGCGGCTCCAAGCATATAGGTCTTGATCGTTAAAGGCTTTCAGACTGAAGGGGCCTCTACTTTTGCTTGAAGAATTGAAGAACGACCCGTTTTGACCCTAATGCGGACCCCTGATCCCCTTGGGATCCTGATGTTAAGGCCCTAAAAAGAAGGGGGGCTGGTTGCTTGATCACGGGTCTACATTAATGCCCATGCTACTCTTTGTTCAGTGATCGGGTTTGCTTCCGTTGTCCAGGCCGTGCGCCTGACACTCCACGAGCAAAAGGCCCTGCGAGCTGCAATGCCCGGCACGCAGGCGGAGCCCGGAGTTTCTTCCGTAGGGATGGGGAAAGTTCAATGGGAACCAAGATGACATGGATCCAGAGTTTGATCCAAGCTCCTGTGTTGAGTGCCTTTCATGATCCAGCTTCCTAGAGACTTGGGTTCGCAAATTCTGAGTACCTTCTGGATAAGAAATTGTTGCAGTTCCACAAGAGTTTACAATATTTGAATGGCTGCATGTGATGTGTGTAGCGAGCAGCCGCTGAACTGGCATACTCTGACTGGAACATGGCCGGAACGCGAAACATGAGCCAGACAATTCGCTGGTAGCACGCAGATCCTTCAACCTTGAGTAGTGTGGGATCCCTGTATGAGCAGAAGGCGGAAACATGCGGAAACACATTTTGCGACTATGTCGTTACTGTAGACGGATCTTTTAGGGGCTTGTGCTGCACATATGCTCGATGCAGGCCATGCTTTCTTGTGCAGCGGGTACGCTCTTTCGCATCGAGGACAGCAGCATCTTAGGGCTTGCTCCTGGAACTGTTGCGTTACAGCCCGCCTTGCAGGAAGTTTCCAAGCTGCGAGGCGAAGGACCTGCAGTTTCCTTGCAATGCTCACGTTGGTGATTGAGTCGTCCGTCTAGGCTGTGAGTGTTCAGAGGGCGGGACCCTCTGTGCCCTTCTTGTTGACAGTGAGGTCGTGGAGAGCCATCACTAGCGTTGGACGCAAAGTGAGGGAGCTCCAAATGATTTGCCGGAGTTTGCTAGCTGTTGTCACAGGACAGATGATTTCCATGGCCTGTACCTCAAACAACTGCAGCTTTTGTCGGCCACTTGTTGTCAATGGTGCTATACGTGCTGTCGGACAGCTGAGGAAAAGCTTCTAGTAAGCACATTCAACATTCATAAAGGTCCAAGATAAGGGATCTTTCTGCATGCCAGGTAGGCCTGCGCTATTTCCGGGAATCACCGTTTTTTGAGAGCACTGTGAGGTGCTTGCTTCGGAAGACCCAGGCCAGGCTGTTCTGGGAGTTGTTAAGCCCTCCGCTTGAATTTTTTCAATTGTTGTAAGATGCTGTAATTGTCATCATTACTGGCATAATCATCATTGTCGTCGTTCCAGAGGAGGACGATGAAGAGGTGGTGCTGGCTGTGAGCGGGTGCAGGTGTGCATGGGAGTGGAGAATCCGCCATAATGGGCCTAAACCCTACATGACCCATTTTAGTTGTTTCCATTTTCTTTTCCATTATCCCTATATAACCCCAATATAACCCTATATAGCCCCTACATGATCCCCATATGATGTAATGTAATAGTTTCCATTTTCTTTTCCATTATCCCCCATATATCCCCAACATAACCCATGGGCCGGGCGGTGACCGAGTTAGCGGCTGTGGGGGCGGCAGGGCTGGCGGGCGTGGTTTCTGGCCGTCATGACATTTTCCTAGGCTGTTTCGATGTCTTTTCTCATGGTTGTGTCGAATCCTCCTGGCTTATGTCCATGACCAAGTTCCTGCATTTCGAAGAGGATCCAGGGAGTTGAAGGACATGGATGTTTGGAGTGGGTAACGGGTAGCACTCATATTGGGATAATATTGGGATAATGGAAAACAAGATGGAAACTACTATAATGGGTTATGTAGTATTCCTGGGAATGGTTACCTCTCAAGCTGCACTAGAGGTCAGCCTTGTGGTGCCCAAGCTCTGAAGCCACAGCCGGATGTCATGGTTATTGTTACTTTTTTTTTCTCTTTTTTTTTCTCGGGTACTACTATTATTGTTATTACCATGATGACTACCCTAAACCCTAAACAATATTAGGGTTATGTTGGGATAATGGAAAACAAAATGGAAACTACTATGTAGGGACCATGATTGTTACCATTATTTTGGATACTATCCCCTAAGCCCTAAACCCTAAACCCCGAACCCTGAACCCTAAACCCTAAACCCTAAACCTTTAATCCGAAGGATGGCTGGGTCTTGAAGACACAGAGACGAACGGCACCATGACGGTCTGGCCCTCTGGGTTGATGGCTCTTATGCCAGTAATATAACCCATGAGTTTAGGGTTTAGGGTTTAGGGTTTAGGGGTTATATTGGGGATATATGGGGATAATGGAAAAGAACATGAAAACTACTATATCATATAGGGTGTTTTCAGGGATTGTATAGGGATTATGTATGGCTTCTATAGGGGTTATGTAGGGTAACATTGGGGTTATACGGGGATAATGGAAAAGAAAATGGAAATTAGTACATTGGGTTATATAGGGTTTGGGGCTTAGGGTTTGGGGTTGCATGTGGAGCGAGAGAACTTCAAGACTTTGGTTGTAGGCTTTGAACCGCAATAGACTAGGGTGTCTGTCAAAATCCTGACTTCCAATCCTAAATCCTCTCAGTCAAAGAAGTGCGCGCAACAGTAACCTCAAAATTAAGCACATTTCAAGGAAAAGCTGCGGTCTGGAGGGATTACTTAGCCCCGCATCACCCCTTGACAGCTACGTTCCTGGTTGTAAGCCAATCTAAGCCCAAAAGACCTCTGCCAAGGGAAGTTGCTGTCAAACCTACAAGCTCGTGCAAATTCTGTAGCGGCTCAAGTTCACTGAGCATCGTTTGGCATGGAGCCGCCGGTGGTGCTGGATGGATCTCACAGCACGCAGCCAGACAGTTCCCTGGCAGTGCAGACTGGCAATTTCTTTCATGACATGTTTGATCAATCTTTCCAACCCAGAAGAACAAAGACAGCAACAGCCTCAGAGAAGTCAGTGGCAAAACCATGCCCTCAGCACAGGTACTATTGAGGCGGAGAGAAATCATAGAGCGCATTGCCAAAGCTTTTTTCATTATCTCGATTTGATGCGATTTTGTCTTGCATTTGCTCCGCACACTCATGAGTACTGATGTAGAACATGCCGTTTTTTTAATTGTTTCAAAACAATCAAGCCTCGTGCGATCAGAACTTACTGCTCGGTTCAAGGCTGGGCAACTTTGCACCTTCCAGCCATCGAGGAGCTCCTGAGATGTGCGCCCGATGAGGCTTCAGCATAGGAAGATGCTATGAAAAAGCCTCTACTTCGAGTACTGTTGAATGTGATGAGGCGGTTAAAGGCTTGTACGCCACAGTCATATGCACTTGTTATTTCGTGAATGAATTGTGAGATGGTGTGAGGATGTGTGAGTAGAACTTGCAAAGCGCCTATTCTCGTTGAAGCTCTGTTGTTCATGACATCTAGCTCCCACTTTTTGCATCACCTGCACGAGGGCGCTTGCAGCACCAATGACGTGTTCAACATACTCATGCCCAGGCCAGCCACAGGTGGGAAGCTCTTTCATGTTACGCCTGCTTATGAGTACACTTTGCAGAGCAGAATTTCCGATCCTGCACACTAGAGGAAGCCCTTGGCCATGTTCTTTCAGCACGCTTCCGCAGTATGTCTGTTGTTTGAAGTCCGCCTTCGAAAAGGTGCGCGTGAAACATCCATGCCGCAGTGGCCAAGCTTCGAGGACGGATCACTTTCCATCTGATCAGGAAACCCGCTTGTCATGTACTCTGCCTTGGTGCAATCAACTCCCGCCTAACATCACTTTGCTCGGGGGTGGCAAGCCAAACGCCCCGACCACTCCCCCCATTCGGACCCGGACCCGGACCTGGTCTGTCCGGACCTGGGACCTGAAAACCGACCGTTCGGGTTTGCTTGTTATTCTGGGTGTGGGGTTGTTTAGGGTTCAGGGTTTGCAGGTGTTGAGGGTTCATAGTATGGGGTTGTTTAGGGTGTAGGGATGATAAGAGTTTAGACTAGTTGTTTAGGGTTTAGGGTTTGGGATTTTTTAGGTTCAGGGTTTGGGGCTGTTTAGGGTTTTGGGTTTGGGGTTGCCTTCAGAGTTTATTATAAGGGTTTGGAGTTGTTTAGGGTATAGTGTATGGGATTGTCTGCAGGTTTGGATTGTTTAGGATGGCGTGGCGAGGTTCGCTTGTTGTGGGCCCTAAACCCTAAACCCTAAATGTTTGGTCTTTAGCGTTGGGGCTCTTCAGAGTTCAAGGGTTGTGTAGGGATTAATGTTAGGGTTTTGTTTGTGTTCAAGCTTTGGGGCCATTTTGGGTTTGCGGTTAGTTCAGGATCTAGAGGTTGTTTAGGTTTGAGGTTTTGTGTTACTTAGAGTTCAGCTTGGATTTAGGGTTCTTGGTTCTTTGGGTTTGGGGTTACGGGTTGAAGGTCTGGGGTTGTTTCAAAATTCTCGATGTTTTGTCTTTAAGACTTGTGCACCAGCATGGAGAATGGCACGTTCGGAGGACGAGCGGAGCCTTGGTCACGGATGTTGGTGGTTATATAGGGATTATAGAGGGATTATTTAGGGGTTATTTCGGGATTATATAGTTGGACCCTAGGCTACCCATTTTGGGGTTATGTTGGGGTTATACTGGGATAATGGAAACTAGAATGGAAACTCCTATTGAGGGTCTGACCTTTCCAGCAAGCAGGCAAGGACTGACAAGGCTACTGTCACGATTTTGTGGCTCGTCTGAACCGGAGCAGACCCACACCGACTGCCTAGATCTGGACCCGAATCACCTGGACCCAGATCAGGATTCACCCAAGAAAAGCAATACCCAGTTGACGGCTGTGAGTTCTATTGTCCGATTATGTCGGACAAACCCTAAATAGGAGTTTCCATTTTGTTTTCCATTTTCCCAGTATAACCCCATTCTAGCCCCATTATAACCCCAATATAACCCCAAAATGGGTAGCCTAGGGTCCGACTATATAATCCCTATATAACCTCAATATAATCCCTATAATCCCTAGTAGGTTCCGTTTTCTTTTCCATTGTCCCTTTTTCCCTGTGTCGGACTTCTTCATTGTGTCTGCTTGCCAGGAGCCTCAGTTTCAAGCGAATCTTCCTGCTTCGCGACTCGGCTCCATTTCCTCTGGGGCTACATGCGGAGACACAAAAGACTGCGCCTGAGGCATCTCCACCCTGCCTACCTGAAACAGGACATTCCTATCATTTTTTCTTACTGTTATCATTATTGCTATTATTACTGTTCTTGCTGCTGTTGTTATTATTTGCTCTTACTATTATTATTGTTATGATTATTGTTAGTATTCTTAAGCAAATTCTAATATTGTTATTCTTGTTACTAACCTGAGTCAGAGGGGCTTCCACGGTTCATGCCTCAGATACAGGGATGAGCGCGGTATCAGATTGGTTTTGGTTTTCCTTGGCAACTGCCAGTGGGACTTGGCTTTTCCTGGTGACTCCATGCAGGACGTGGCGCTGCCGCATGAAGGCCTGTGCACATGCCCAAAGAAACGCAAAGGATGGACTTGAGTAATTCCCAAAGTTGGGCCCCATCTTGGTCTAAATGGTAGTTTCTAAAATTAGAGGGTACCTTTTTAGGGGTCCCTACAATGAGGACTACAGTGTATTGGAATCTATATTGAGGCTGGGGGAACTACCAGATCTTCGGGCCGTAATATAAGCTATAGACGATAGCCATAAAGGGCCCACAATTTTAAGACCAACCCACTTGTCAGTTGGTGGTGAAATGCGACCTGTAGAGAGCACGCATCCTTGTTCTTCCGAGACAAAAATGACAGGCGCAATGAAATGTTGAGATAGAGGGAAAGAGTTGAGTGTTGGACAACAGGAGGAAGCAAAGGAACCGTTGGCACTGTAACGGCTTCAAGGAAATCCATACCAAATGCGCTTATTCAAAGAGTGGCACAGGTGCGCCAGGAAATGGTCTCGTTGGGCACAAGAGAGTTCCCAAGAAGATCAACATTCAGGAGTTACTGTCCTCATTATGGCTGTGCTCTGATTCCTAGTGTTTCCTGGTAGTGATGATGCCAGTTTTAGCAACATTCCAAGCATTCCTGATGTTGTTGGGGTGGCATTGCCACGCAAACAACTGAGCGGTAAGAACCGCATGTAGAACTACCACTTGTCGCCTTGCCCACGTCAGGAGGAGTTTCGAAGCGACCGTTGCGAGATTACGACTGCCATGATACGGCCCGCAGCTCACGTGGCTTTGTGCAACATTTTGTGCTCCCAGACTTGCCCTTGCTAGCGTGAGATGCTTCTGGCCTGGAAGGAACGTCCCAAACCAGTTGAATCGGAAGAAGTTCGTGGAGCGACTTGACCAGCTGGGATTCGCAGGTTTGCCTCCTGGCTGAAGGAGAGGTGTAATGCCTTCATACGAATATGACATACCCCCACCCCTAATATTGAATAGCCCCCCATAAGAGACGTCATATATTGCGGGCCATATTTGATATTGGGGGTGGGGGGTATTCAATATCACTCTGAGGGGAGTACTATTGGTTTCCTTATGCTATGCGATCGCGTGCAGGAGTTCTGGAGGTCCTTGGGGTATTCGGCTATTCCAACTTGCGTATTTGTGGGCAAAGGTGGCCCCGTCCACCTGTTGATATGGTAGTTTTCCGTGCATTGGGAAACCTTAATATAGACCCGAGTTGTTAGCTACAGTGGAGATAATGCCCGATGTGTAATTGTTTTGGTCGTTCAGAGGCGCTGCTCTCTTTTTGAAGTTGGCACAGCAAGCCGCTACCCCATTGCTAACGACTAGTTAGATCAACATCGATACGTTTACTGTACAGCACCCGCTCATGAGAGCCAAAATCCTGGTGCTGGTTCATCTCCGGTAGTATCAGAGCTGTCAGGTACGATTTCGTGTATGTTCCGCCGCTCGACGACAATGATTAGAGCATTTGCGTGGCGGTGTGCCTTGTTCCTTGCAATGGCGCCTGTCACGTCCTGTTTGGCCCAGCCCTCATCAGGATGGATCGATCGACGCGAATGAACGTTGGCTATGCGTTTGTAAATTTTATCAGTCCGGATGTATTCAGGCCAGACACTGAGCTCAGTCTTTGCTTGTGCATGCTCTGGCATTGCTTCTTTGGGCCCGTGAGGATGTGCCAAGCCACGCTGGAGGGCAAAAGGTTTCTTGACAAAGAAGACTGCGACAAGCGCAGAAGCAGGAAACCGATCATCGTCGCTCGGCTCAGCTCGTACGGTGAATGTAAAAATGAAATCGAGGTTATATATAGGGGTTATATAGGGAAAATGGAAAGGAAATGGAAACTACTATATTATAATCGGGTATATATTGGAGTTATAGTCTGTTCTCTTGCTTTCAGATTGAGAGAAGTTTTGCCGCAGCTTTCCTGCCAGGTCTCTGCGGCTCACGTACAGGGACTGCAAGAGAACGAAAGACACTTCAAGGAGAACGGGACTGCAACTCGGAATCTGTGATAGTTTAAAAGAGCACTCTGCCAGGATACTGTGGCCACAGTAGTGCAACAGCCCACAGGAAAAAGAAGTCATGCCCTCTGAGATTGCTATTTGGGATGGCCTGTGGCGAAGTGCAGGACGCTGCGGTCGCACACACGCTTCACAGACCTGTCAAGTTTGTGTGCAATGCCGACAACGAGAAGCCTTTAGGCATCTTGGTTGCCTTTGAGCTGAGAAGCTGTGGAAGGTACATATCCCACTTTATAGGGAGCTCTGGGGAGGGACACCGGGGATATCGCGGATGAAAAGGGGATCATCCAGAGTCCATTTAGGAATCATGCTTAGGGACTGTGTGTCTACTTGGAATATGATTTTGCCAGGTTATGCGTCAAATGTACGCGGACCGCCCGCCCGCTAATGCTGACGACAATGGACCCTGCAGGGTCACTGAAGCAATCTCTGCGAATGTATGGGGGCATTACAGAGTGATTGTCCCATCTTTCTCTTGAGGGCCATTGGAAGAAGGCTCCTGAATTCGGACACGGCCGTGAGAAGCTCCGCCCTCCAGGGAAATTTCTTGTTGTCGCTCATGGCATATTACTATTATTATTCTGAGTATCACTATTACTATGATTATGATTATTGTTACATTACTATTACTTCTATTGTTATTCTTATTATTACTAGTATTATTATTAGTATTACTCGTATTATTGTTATTACTAATATTATTACTGATAATATTGTTACTATTAATATTACTATTATTATCACTATTGTTATTACTATTATTATTATTACTAGTAGTATAATCCTGATTATGATGAACTTATCTCGTCCACTTCTTGGGGCGGTCGTCTGGGCCATCTTTCGAGAAAAGCTATGGAATGAAGCTCGGAGAGCCGCTATTCCATAATGCCAATGCCACTCCATGACAAGAACAGATGTGCGGTTTAGGGTTTAGGGTTGAGAGTTTAGGGTTTTGAATTCAATGAGTCCTTCTGCAGGCATCCCTTCACTGGGATCATGGGATTTTTCAGAAAAATGATGTATGGAAAGTCATAGGACCGCAAAGCTATGCTTATGGAGCTGGCATGGTCTCAGTCAAACTTTTAGATTTGTCCACGAAGCTGCTGTTGGGGTTGCTCACTGTGCTAGCTCTTAGGGGTAAGGGTGGGGTGATATTAGGGGGTATATTGGGATAATGGAAAATACAATGGAACTACTATACTAGGGTATATATTAGGGATATATTAGGGGTTATATTGGGAAAATGGAAAATAGAATGGAAACTACTATAGTATATGAGGGTTATATACGCGTTATATTGAGGTTATATTATTTCCTTGTAGCTACCTGGCATGTCAGATTCGTGGCCGCTGCTCCAGGGCGTGTCGGCACCCGACATCCTGTGCTGAGGATGTGCTGTTTGTCAACTTTCTTCTGATCTTAGGGATATGATCCCCTCGCGCGACTTGTTTGTGCTTTTAACCTTGAGTACTTGTAGTCACTGTCAATACCACTACCATGCTCTATGTGGTCTTGCCTGTCAATGTGTACGTAGACATGGGATTTGATTCGCCGTCAGTCTTTGGCAACCTGAGATCTCACTATCACGTGTAGATCTTCATTGCGCAGGTTCACAGCCGTGCGAAAAAAAACTGTGGCCGTTTATGCACGTCTCAATGAGTAAGCAGGATGGTGCGTACCATGATGGCCATTGGTTGAAGGACACTGGTCCCTATATCCTAGTCTCCCCCTTAATGACCCCATTTGCACTTTCCTTTTCAATCTCTCATATACCCGTCTTTAAGGAGTTTAGACTACAGTTCATATCATCCCCAATAGTACAGTGGTTTGCATTTTCTTTTCCATTCCTAGGGCCAGGACGAGCAAGCGACATGGGATGGGAGCCACAACACCTAAACCCTAAACCCTAAATACCTGTAGAATACCCTTGTATCCCTGGGGTGGGGTTTAGTGTTTAGTGTTTTGGGATCCATGGCGTCTTCAAGGGTTTGCTGTTTTGAGAAGCCCCCCATGATCCTTCAAAGCCACTATGTTGAATTCCAGTTTCTACGGCGGCTTCCATGTTCTTTCCCTTTGAGTTTCCATTCCTGGGTCAACACTCCTTCTATGCCTCTAGAAGCATAAGCCTTAGATAACATAGTAGTCAGCATTTCGTTTTCCACTCCCCACATAATCCCCATATAACCTCTAACCCTAAACCCTAAACCCCTAATGTATGACCCTTCGTGGCAGGCTCTTTTGGCTGCATCTGATCTGGAAGAGGCGCGAATGGAGGGATGTTCATCTTGACTTTTTTAAATGGAAGCTACTATTATGTACTGGGTTTTTTTCGGGATAATGGAAAAGAAAATGGAAACGATTATAATATGGGGTATATATTGGGGTTACATGGGGATAATGGAAAATTGAACGGAAACTACTACAATTACAGGGTTGAGGGTTTGGATTACCGTTGCCAACCCAAAGCTTGGCCTAGATTCTTTGTGAGGACATGCTTGGGTTATGCTGTGGAAGTGTAAGGCGAGTAAACCTGCGAGTTGAAATCGCGATCAGGAGGTTTCAAGACATGGGAGTTTCTCTAAACAAGGGCATCCCAATATAGACCCCAAAATACTGTAATCCTTATGATGGGGACCCCCAAAATGGTACCCCTAATTGAGGGAAAACCCTACATGCTTCAACAGCTGGTTGGATCTAATGGGTGTTCCAAGTTGCTCCCTGTTCGGTCCACCAACCCTAGACCCTAAACCCCTCACCCGTCATGTCTGTCCCATGCTCGCCGCAATTCAGCTTGAATTTCCATGTAACAGAGAGATCTCTTGACAAATGGTAGTTTCCAAAAAAGGTGGACCCCAGTACGGACTCCAATATACAATAGTCCTGATCATGGTCTGATTCTCCACTATTGGGGGTAAGAATCCCTGCGTATCCCTACACCCTAAACCCCGAGTAGTAGCGTAGTTTCCCTTTTTCTGTTCAATCACCCTAAACCTTGAACCCTATGCATACCCTAAAATCCATATTTCTTAAACCCTGCATACCCTAAACCCTAAATACCCTAAATCCTATATATCCTAAAATCTATATTTCTTAAACCCTGCATACCCTTTACCCTATATACCCTAAATCCTATA